GAGATGACATGATAATTGAAACGGGAACTCAGTGCAATTAGTTATATCTTTTGTCATAAACAGGGTCTACAAATTTGGGTTTTTTTGTCATAAACAGGGTACCCCTTTCAGAATCCCAGCGGAACACCCCTACCCAAATTCTGGCGGAGTACCCCCCCTGGGAGAATGCCCCAATAAATGAGTAAAATTGTCTGGCTTAAACTATCATTTATAGCTGCAGTAATTTGTAAATTTTCACTTAGACTCTCTGGCTAGTTCATGACCTTTAGTGGTGTGCTTGCCTATCAAAATCTGATGTCTCAGGCTTGATTCCTGAACTCAGCATCACAGATGAGTATTTTTTCTGACTTGTTATTTATATTAAACTACCTAGCATGAACCCAGGTAAAAAAATAATCAACTTCTAAATTTTAATTATCAAATGGGTTGTAAGGCCTGTTACATTTTCTTTTTACCCTGAAGTGGAGAGTTATCATTTTTGGTTTAGTTTATTGGGCCCACAGGTTCGCATGCCACAGTTGTAAACAATAAATGTAGTGGTAGTGTGTGACATGAGCAATGAACCTCACAGAAAAGTCCCCCAGAGGAAGTGGTAGTTAAAAAGCTCTTTCTTGGACTGAGCATAACTGGACATGCCTATTGTATCGATATGTCCTATCACTACTGTAACCCTCGTAAAATAAAGATTTAATAACTATAGACAGGAAAACTTTGCCTGACTGCACATGGTTCTACCATGAAAAATTCATTCATTTTCTTAATCCCACAACCCAGACAATAAGTTAATATTTAAGATGTCTTGTGTGTTGACTTCCACCAATCAAAGACCAAAACACAGTCTGTAAATATTTGATGGGTGGGAGCCAAACATAAGAAATTAACTTGCCAAGCCTGGATATGCCTGGGCCCAACTGCTCAATCCCTGATTAGCACTAATCCAAGTTTGATTATCAACACAACCAACGCCTTCATATAAGATTTACCCCAGGATTAGCACTAATCTGGCTTGGAACAGTATTGCAAGTGTCGCAGAAACATGAAAACCAGTATTAATTATAAACTACTGGAGCTGGTTGTACTAAGCCTCAATATGTACTATTGGATCACTGCAGATAAATCCTTATGATCCAACAGATGAACTTTATCCAGATGCCGTGATTCTGTTATGCGAAGCTCAAATAGAAGTTATCCACTGGATCTTATTCTAAGAACAACTATTTGCTGAAAAGCACTTTGGTCTGTTGCATATACGTGGTGCTTATACAGGGTTCCTAGCCATTTTGAAAATAAAAATTCCCTGACTTTTCCCTGATTTTTCCCTGACTAAATAACAGTTTGTTGAGCCACATGGGTGAGCATGGGCCACATGCCTAACTTTTACCTAGGCCCTGCTCTTATCATATTACACAGGATACCCAACGTAATTAAACTGTCTGGCATAAATGATACTTTAAAGAAAATTCCCTGACTTTAGTGAAAATTGCAATTTTTCTGACTAAGTAAAAAATTCCCTGACTTTTCCCTGACTGTGTTTTTCCCTGACTTTTCCCTGACCCCTGGGAACCCTATTATATGGTTGATAACTTAATGCGTATTTTGTACAACCAACTACTGATACTAAAATAGATAGGCAGCACTAAGGGACAGAAAACAGATCAATCCCTTGGGCTCTGTTTATCTGTAAAAAATTCAGCCTCAATTGTAAAAGATGTAGGCCTCAATATGTACCTACCTTTAATCATATTAGCTACAGTTTTACATGTAACATCTAGTAACCCCTTGATATCGAGATAGTTTGCAGCCTAATTTAAAACAAAGGAAACAAAACAATCATTTCAACAGCAAAAACTTTAGTATTAATGTGAGTCATTACGGTTAGGTAAGAACCCTTTACAGCAAAATTCTTTTCTCCATTAATCCTGGTTCTGGGGCATTTAGCGGTGCTGCCATAAGGACAAGCACAAGCTAACACACGAAAAACAGTCTTTCATTCTCTTGCGATTGTGTTTGCACTTGTGTCGTTTCTTTTTGTACCGATAAGTATACATAAAATAATATTGCCAAGGATCAATTTTTATTGTAAACATGAATTTATTCTTTCTTGCCTCGTGGTCACTCGACCTTCTCCCACACGCATACGCTACACAGGCAACCCAATACATGTTTCTTCTGAACAATTTTTATAGTGAGAACATGGAGTTGGGTCTGCTTGCATTGCCTTGCACTGCTAGCCAGAACCAGGCTTTAGGCATGAGCAGCTAACAGCCCCACATAAAGTATGAGAAAAACAGATCAATACATGTAATACTTTGCTGAAAAGATCTATGCTTGGACCTGACACTGCATCTCTATGTAAACACAAATTTTTCTTGTCTATTTTCTGTCACTCAAGGACATTACCACTGGCCCCAAAATAAGCAGTTCAAAATTCCAATTTCTTTGGTGTGACATTTGAAAACATTGATTTAGAAATACTGTCTGGTCAATTTGGTGTGATGCAGTATAATTACTAATCTTTATTATAATTATAGACAAAGTTGACTATGATGACTGATAGGGTGAGCCACCTCTGGAAGATGTCATAGAAAATGTTTTTGATAATAATAATAACGATCTTTTATTTGGCTTTTAAACAAGTAACTAATTCATTCATCCATGTTTGTCAAAAAAGAGCTTTCTATAAGAGCTCATTAGAACATGCACATGGTACTTACCAATATCAATTCAAATAGAGTTCCCTGGTCAACCTTAAGGAACTCTTGATCCCATGGATCTATGTCATCTGTTCTCTTTTCTTTGTTTTCATCATCGTCCGGGGGAGGTGGGTCATCTTTGTGGTGGGTCGCCCATTGAATCACCTAAAAACACCAAGAAAAAAGATAATCAAAAAGAACATAGGGAATAAAGTATTTTCTTTGAAAATATCTAATTAAGCTTTTGCTGTTGTATCATGGCGTGGGACAATCACAGTAGAGCTAAACTCAAACTACTGTAGGTAAAAGCCCAAAGATCAAATCAGAAATTATTAAATGATTTTTGAGGAGGGAGAAGAAGTGGAGAACCTGGAGAAAAACCCTCAAAGTACAGGAGAGTACTAACAAACAAATCTACTTATGTACATATGTTGACGAGACTGGCAAGACTCGAACCCGCGTTGCATTCAGTTGGTGAGAGGTGACACATTAACAGTTAACTCCACCCTTGCTTCCCGTTTCTGATTGACCAGAATTCATTTCTTTTGCCCTACACAGTATAACTTGTGAAATGTTTTGTGTTGTAGTTAGTTGCAAAATTCTAATACCTTTTTTAGGATAGCAGCATTAACATTTGGTAAAGGGACTGCATCATCATCATCTTCATCCATCCCAAGATCTATAGGTACAGTAAGAATATAGAAGACTTGATCAGAAATAAAGCGTAATAAATACTAAAACATGAGCCTTGTTTTTACTTATATTTTCTTGACTCTTTGATTTGAAAAAAAAGACTGAGACAAAATCTCCACCAATATGGCTACAAATATTTCAAAGGTCCATAACTTATATATTCATTTCATATGCTATAATTATATGCTATGAGGTGTTCTTAATTTTATCTTTCAAAATTTTCTTTTGCAACTGACTCTAATTTTCTTGCTGATTTCTGCCCACCCTAATTTTTTTTATTCCCAAATGCACCACAGGGTTCCCAAGTAAACTCATTTCCACTGTTTAATCAGTAAAAAAGAAAAACCGACGAACCAACCCCAATTATTTTTCTCATGCAACAGGAAACACACTTATTTTTTTTGTTTAACCTTATCCAAAATAACAGACAACCAATTAGAAAGCAATATCCTTAACCTCTACATTTGCCTTCAGGACAAGCCAATCCATAATGCTTTCTCACAGTCTTTCAAAAAACTTCAAAAAAAAGAGTTACAAGAAAACTAAAACTTTCGTACAACTAATCTTCCCAATCTGATCACAATTCAATCAGAAAGAAGCAGCATAAAAAAAAAGAGAATGAAAAGATACATACCTTCTAACATAGTTTTAATAGTGACAGATTGTTTTGCGATTTCAACATCCACTTCAAATATCTCACCGTCTGAGCTTTGTAACTTGATATTAGGCATCTAGAATGTTTGACACAATGTTAGATTTATTTGAATACTTATTTACTTATTAATGCAAAATAATAATTATAAACTGATCAATGGAGAGAGGGAGGCTGAAGATTGTATTTGTTAACCTCCTGTAAAACAGCCTTGTAGAATGCCAAAGCCAAACAAAAAATAAGTGTGTTTCCTGTTGTACGAGAAAAATAATTGGGGTAGGTAGGTGAGATTTTTTTTCACTGATACAACAGTGGAAATGAGCTTACTGGGAACCCTATGGTGTATTTGGGAATGAAAAAAATATTAGGGTGGGCAAAAATCGGCAAGAAAATTAGGGTCGGTCGCGCAACAGGAAGCACACTTATTTTTTTGTTTGGCCCAATGTCTGATACCTAGTTTTACTTTTAGATTTACACTAGAATAAATATTATTAATATCAAAATTGGATAAGAAAAGTGCTGAATATCACAATAATTGGACTCAAAGAAATCAATTACTGGCAACGATATGGATAATAGGAAATATAAGTAATTTAGAATTTCTTACTATATAAATAAAGATCCCAAATGCCTTTTTTGCTAATTTAAACCAGATGTCTAAGCCCTAATAAGAGTAATAATTACTAAAATAGTATTATTACTAAAATATATATTATTAGTTCTTAAAATTATTTATTTATTTTAAATTAGGGGACTTATATAGGGCTAACCTCAATGTCTTCCTTTTCAAAATATGTAATCTGCATTTTTAGAATAAAGTATTATTACTATTACTAACTCGGTGTACTATTGACCATTATTTGGTCTACTAAAGACGTAACGAAGAGAGAAAAACAACTTGAAAACAGGAGTAAAACCCTAAGTGGCAAGAAAGAGAACTGAAAATCAAACAGCTCAATTCACAGATCTTGTCTTAAGGCATTTACAGGGAAATTTGGATTCCCTTGACTTTTTTCCTGAACATACCCCATCATATTTTTGACCAAAAAATGACATAAAAGGAGGTCATAATAGCCACAAACACTGATAATTAAACTTAACCAAATAGCATGATAACTAGGGGCAGATCAGGAAATTTGGAAAGGGATTTTCAAAATTGTTTCAAAGTTTCAAAGACACAAAATTTCTAATATTGCTTTTGTTTCACTAAGCTAAAATAAATATACTGTTTCTTATTTTGTGATCAATATAAGAACAAAATAAGGAATTCCTTATTGTAAGAGGCCAGATGCCTCTATTTTTTGGAATCAAAGATACTGTAGCAGTCTGCACTTGCCTTTCACCTCCTGGGTCTCAGACTCCTTTCACACGGGACCGTTCAAGTTTGGGTCCATTTTTCTTACTGTTTACATGGAATCGTCTTCATTTTGAAACAGTTTGCAGTTGTGTTTACACAGGGCTATGGGGACCGGACCAGATGTGACACTTTTGTGACGTTTCAAAATAGTGGACGAATCACAGTGCGAATACGAACTGGAGTGCAAAATTTGTAGTGCCATTTGAAGCAGCGATAACTGAAGCAAGCAAGTCAAACCAGCTAAAAGAGCAATAGATGCAGCCATCGCCTCTTTCCTTATAATTACAGGTAGTTTTCTTAGTATTTTATACGTTTATTTTTACAATGTGACTATCGCTTTAATACTGATTGCGTGATTGTAACCTTTTCACTTTGTTTTGACTGAGTAGCCAGGCCAACTAAATCTTGATCCCAGGCCAAAACCGTGCCAACTGTGCAAAAGTGAGAACTGTCCCTTCAAAGCTTTCACTGCACCGGCCCCAATGAGACCTAATTTTTTAGGTCCCAAACTTTAACACTTTGCTTGCCTCAGATCAGGACAGTAACAGAGGACTCGTGTGAATGCAAAGCCAAACTGTCCCGGTTTTCGGACAAGACCCAAACTTGAAAGGTCCCATGTGAACGGGGTCCCAGGTTTAATTCCTGAACTTGGTATCAAGTGGTTAAAATTTATTGAGTGTCTCCCCTGATTCAAGGTTTTTTATTAATTTTCTATACAAAACCAAACCAGTGATTTTGGTCAGCCCTGAGGTTAGTTTAGGGTCTCAACAAAAGTTCAAGATTTGAAGGTTTGATGCCACCTTGTACATGTCCCTAAGTCTACACTGTATATAGTCCTTTGACTAAACGTTTTCGTTGATCGGATCATCCCTACGCGCCTAGACCGAAAAGGATAACGAGTAAATTACCCAGAACTTGCATCATCCAAACTGCTTGCCAGCGTTAAATCTTCGCCGTATGCTTGAGGCATGGTTTTAGCAAATTAAATGGGATTGAAAACAGCAAGCTCAAGACATGTTAGATAACATATGCAGCAGCTAGTAACTGTGAATTAATTATCCCCATGATCCTTTTCGGTTTAGTTAAGTAGGGATGAAGCCGATCAAATGACAACCTTTAGTCAAAGGACTGTATGTTTGTCCATCATAACAAATCCAAAAACATGTTTCTTGTGATCCAACAATTTATGGGCCCATTCTATTGCTCACATGCCAATTTAAAAACCAATATATTTAATTATGATTGATAAGATCTTGTTTAGGCCTATTTTTTATAATTGTGCATCATTTCTTTAAATTCAAACGTGAATAAAGAACTTGCCCCTGTTTCTAAGCATAACTGTCAACAAAAAAATTAAATAAACTTATTAATATACTTCAACTACTTAACGTTAAGATATCCTTTAAACGAAACAGAAAATAAACATTTTGAATTTTGCTCTTTTATTGGATTAGAAATAGAAAAGGGATCGCAAAGATAGAGATTTTCTGTGAGTAGATAAATGATTTACTGTGCAGTAAGTTTTGTCACGAAGTTGACAACAGACAGTAGCAACAAAACCAAATGAACGTCCGTAAAACAAAAAGAAAAGAAATAAGATAGTGAAGAAGCCCGTGTTAAAGATTATGTAACATTATTCCGTAACCCGCATTCTATAAGCTACAATAGGTAAAAGTCTTTTCCGTTGTTCTGAAAATAAATATGCCGAGCCAAAAATTTTGCGCAAGACGCAAAATGGTGACGGTTTTCTCATCCAGAAAAGAACTTTAGACCTTAAAAGTAATCGTAATACTTACCTTGAATATAAATGTAACAAAGAATTTACATAAATATGAAGTAGGATGTTTCGAAGAGCCTTGAAAGGGTTATAAAGTGAGGTATTTTGAGGACGTTTTTTCTTCCAACTCACAAGTTTTCACGTTTTTAAAACAAAATGGCGTCCGACTCATGTAAACCATATATATGATAATTTATTCATGACCATATATGGTATATGCCGTGAGGGCTTGGGCGCTAATAAAAAGTATACTTTACTTTTTTTTACCCTCTGGAAAATCCCTCTGGAATACAATATTATTACACCTTTTGCTGTTCATTAACCGCAAAGGAATATTCATTGGAGCGAAGAAGCATTGTCATTAGAGCGAACAGGCATACAATAAGGCGAACGGAG